GCAAATTACGGTGGCCTAAGGTCAGGTATGAAGGTTAGACCGAGGTCAAAACCAACTTGATTTATTACTCGAGTTTGATGTATGAGATAGTTTGTGGTGCTCATTTCGAATTTACTGACAGCAGGAACCGTATTATGCATCTTCCATTGACTTCTTAGAGGTCAGAAGAGGTCATTTACCTAAGATGACCCGGGTCAACATTTTGTTTTATGAACATACTGCCTAGCGTAATCTTTGTCGCTTATTTAAATGCAAAACTCAGGGTAGTCTTGTATGATTTGGGTCCCCACGACCTTCAAAAGGGCAAAAAAGGTCACTGACCTCAAATGGGATTATGACCTTTTGCTCAGAAGCAGTTGTCTAGATTCTGGGGCACTTGAAAAGCCAACATGTAATGGGACCTCCTTTGACCTTATTTGACCTGAAGGTCATGATCTGGAAAGCTCAAACTTTGACCTAAGTGAGTTCACGTAAAGGTCAAAACATCCTGTAAATTTGGTGTCTCTAGCTTTCTTAGTTCCCGAGATCTCAGGGAGGGTCAAATTGGCCCCTACCCCGCCCGAGCGAAGGGTATCTAGCCGGCCACCCGGGCGCGTGTTAATGTATGCGTGGATAGATATTGACAATTAAAAAGTGCAGGCATATGCATGTGGATAATATGTTTGGCCGCATGCCATGTAGTTGAACGCCGCGCCAAAATGCACATATCTGCGGTGCGCTAAGCCCGGCTTTGAATAAATTTGTTTCAGTTGTGAACCTCTGCACTCATTATGACAACCTGCGTACGCCCTGACGACAGACGATGTTTCATACCCATAATGACTGCTCAGCACGGTAGAAGCCCACCGCTTGCATGGCACGGCGCAGTAGGGTACATTCCCTCCGCACAAAAACGTGCCTGCCGCCTCTGAGCACCTCCTGCATGCGGCGTGTCCCTCCACAGGGCGCGTGATCTCCCCCGCTACCAAGTCGTAACCGCGCTATAAGACACGCGCTGGCGGTGGCGACTGGCCGCAGGCGCGTCCCGGGTGTTGTCACAGGGCGAGGGGGGGGGGGGGTGGACGGACCGCAGTGGCGCTGGACCAATCTCGCTCATCTGCCGTCATCCCGGACTCCAGGTCGCTCCTCTGGTGGTGAGACTATCTCCGGCGTCCAGCCGGGATCTCGAAGGAGAACGATTTTGACGAGACCGAGGCAGTGTTGAACAGACGACCGAGGCAGAGTCATTGCGGTGTGCTGCCGCATGTAAATGCTGAAGGTAGCGTCGCTCGCTTTTCCCTGCCATTCGTCACGTTTCAGCGGGGGGAATAAGCGGCGGTAGAGGACGAAACGCTCGCAATGGCTGGCTACGGCAATTTTCAGCTAGCCGGTTGCGTGGCTTCCCTTTGTGGGACGCGATGCATCGGTCTACACCGGGAATAATCACCTGGGGTCCAGTGATTGGACAGAGTTCGGGTTAGTGCATCCCCTGAGTCCGTCGGGCACCAAACTACGCCGGCTGGAACGCACTGCAACAAACGGTTCAGGTCGAGAGCCCGCGCCCGTGGTAAGCGAGGCCGCGGTGCGGGCGAGTCGGAACGCCAACTATCTGGGAGTTTTGTAGCTTCGGCGGCCCAGCCCGGCCCCGCAAGCCACGCTCTTGATGGGCGTTGAACGTCACATTCACTGACTGCACCGTTATGAATCATCGACAAGCACAGCATGTTTTGTAATGTTTCCGCGTCATGCACTTCCAAGCAGGTTGCGTAATCAGCAGTCGCGCATCTGCAACTTTGCGTTGTCTCTGTTCTTCATGTCCCCGTTCGATTATCATCCAAAACATATGATTTTTAATCACAAAAAGAACTGAGAAATGCGGACCAGAACAGCTACATCAGACTGACTGCTACCAACTGGTCCTAGCTGGTATTAACTGGAAAAACGGACAAACGCACCGACATACGTGCAGGTCAATGTGTGCAAATTCTTAAGCACAATCTTGTGCAAGTCCATCCGAGCATCCACCTGTTCCATCGTCCGGATTATAGATTCACCGGTTTTCGGGCGTTGTTAAGAGGTAATCTCAGATCACGGTGACCATGAAAGGTAGGCACGCGAACCCAGGCTTTCGTAAGCCCCCGCATTACTGCATTCTGGGAAGGCGACGCTGTGACGTCATCATGGAACTAAATCGTATGGTGCCAACGCTGCGGCGGCGTGAAAACGCTTTACTTTGCGGAACGGTTAAAACATAGACATTTTCATAAACCGGATTTCATACCAAGGATATTCAATGAAGCACTGCCAGCTGGGAAATGGTATTGGTTTGCGCTGGAGCTACGAACTTATTGCTGGAATGCGCTTCCAGCCTGCTTCCGGCAGATGGGGGAATGATGGGAAACCCATTCACCATGCGATTTATTCCGAAGAACTCTTGCGGGAAGTGCTTAGAAACACTCTGTGTAAAAGGGTACAACATACAACAACAACAAAGGGTGGTGATGAGAAACAGCGGGTCAGACGGGCTCGCAGCACCATGGGACGCGCCTTGGGAGGTTGAATGCACATCCTGTAGCCATAGGAAGAGCGCTGTCAGGGTGAATGCAGGGTTGGCCTGCCTTAATTGGGTTAGTGACTGGTGAACCCTGGAAGGCGTGAATTTAACGCACGACATATCCTGTAAAATGGGGCGATTTCTGGCAAGTTTTGCAATTTCTGCCAGTCAAATAGTCGTAGCCCACATCTCAACTCGGAAATAGTCTTGGGGATATGTTAGGGCAGTTAAGGCATTATTCCCTGCGTACTATTTAAACTTAACCCATCCGAAATTATGGATTTTTAAGTCAACCAACGCTTAGGAAAATCATCGCACAGAAACAGCAAAACTTAAGCTTCTGCCCTCCTCACATAGCCTTCTTTTTACATTTCACTGCATACAGGTACGGCAGTACGAAGATAAATGTGCAATCTTTGAATCTTTGCCCATCAATAAGTTGAATATAAACATTACATTACATAGGTACTGCAGTACGAAGATAAATATGCAATTTTGGATATTTGCCCGTCAGTAAATTGAGTACAAACATTACATATGACATTACATATAACATTACATATATTTTTTCATATCAATATTCATTTTGCAAGAAAGCATTACATATGAATATGCAGGCGTGTTGAATAGGACGAATATGGCGCCGCTGCTGGAGCTAGAAAACGCGGTTTAGTAGGATCTTTTTTCAAAAAGCACATCCTAGTATTGATTTGTCAATAGAAGGTTTGAAATACAAAATGCACAATATCTATTCACAAAACATCATAATTAAGATTTAGAACAGGATAGCAACAAAGTCCGTTAGCGGAATCTCAGTTTTCTACCCTGCTAATCCTGTTAATCCTGTTCTACAGTATTTACCAGCCTTTTCGTGGTATCAACCAAAAAACATACTACGAGCTACCAAACTTGAGTTCCACGGTGACGTCACACCTGCGTAGCTTTTTACTCTAGTAGCCTTGGGCTTTACAATGTAGGCCAACGGACCGTCCACAAGGAACGAAGCTGCCTTACAATAAACTCTCAACTCTGGCTGATCTTCTTCTGGCTGAACTGAGCTGAACTTCTGGCTGAAATTCACCAATAACAGACCAGGAAGTCTCCAATGTAATCAAATCGGATACAGCGGCCTCAGAAACATACAGCAGGCTGTGACCTAAGCCGAGGCGACCCAAGCCATGGGAACTACGCGTGTTCATCGAGAAGTGTATTATTGTTATTGACTTTCGATACTCACAGAGCATTCATCAGACGAGTAAACTATTTCAAACTTAATTCACCTTGTCCAATAACCGTGACAGGTTTTGAGCCCGAAGCAGCCAAAATCGCAGTTGTATGTAGGTATATGTGCATACGCATATATATATATATATATATATATATATATATATATATATATATATATCCGTGTGGGCTCCCGTAGGCTACGGGCTCTGTCCCTTACGTTCGGGCGTCATCCGTATGATGATGATTATCACATGTGCTATCACCTCGCCCCCTCTCGACGCAAAGGCTTCATACTGGTTCATAACACGTCAAGATGGAAGATCAAGGCGCTTGGCTGGCGTACGTTTTTCGACTCGAAAACCATTGCATTGCTCAAGGTAGAGTCTCGCATTCTTCATTACATGTGTGACCTCGGTTGCCATTTATGAATCACAATTGCTCCTGGTGCATTGCAATGCAAGTGCATATTAGATGCATCTTGGAACAGTGTGAGTACTCCGCATGCAACCTTCAAAATGCATTTTTCTGGTTGTACACGATCATTCGTTTGTTCTAAGCGTGAGGACGCATGCAGGCGCGAGGCATGCAGCATGCACCACTGAATGGCACAGGAAAAGAAACGGCATAATACGACATTGAGCTCCCGCAACGGTGGGCGAGTTTCTCAGCTATTTCTTAGCGGTCCTGGAAAGCCTCGTCGAATTTTCACGTCAAATCAGCGAACAGATGCTTTGATCGTGTCATTTATTGGAAACGTCATCTTTGGATATGTATTCCAACAAAGAGAAAGACAGCAAAACGCCGCACGCCGTAACAACCAACATACAACAACAGGAACGACGCGAAAAAAAAACACACCTGCCATCGTGGCCAGAGAGCGAACCGCCCGTCGCTGGCGGCCGACCACCGGCAGCACTGCTCTCTCCTATCGGCGGCCGGCGCAGTCGGCGGTCCCGGTTCGAGACGGTATCGAGGGGTCGCGATCGCAGCCAATTGGCCTCTCTCGTGCCTTCACAGCGCGCGGCCGGTCAGACGCCGCACTTGACGTCTGCCGGCCCGCGGGCGATACCATCGAACAGTCATCACTCGGCTGGAAGGCGGGGGGGGGGGGGCCACGGGTTCGGCCCGGCCCGGCCCGACCCGACCCGAGCCCGGCCCGACCCGAGCCCGGCCCGACCCGACCCGAGCCCGGCCTGACCCGAGCCCGGCCCGACCCGAGCCCGCCCGGTGACGGCGGCCGGCGCGCGCGTTCCCGCCACCGGTGGCCGGCGCGCGCTCAGATCAGGTTGAACATGGAGACGGGACAGTCGGGGTAGGCGGCGTAGCAGTCACCCTGCGAACGACCCTGGTACTCGGCCTGCGTGTACTCCTGCTCGGCGCCGTCCTCGGTGGTGGTGCGCGACGCCCTGCCGATGAGAGCGGCAGAGGAGCGTCAGGAAACAGAGGAGACGAGGCGTTAAACACGGCCGCGTAACGTGTGCACAAGACGGTGTCGTCTGACAAAACTGATCAGAGATCAAGGACAGCATCCGGCATCGCGTACGACAGTCATCGTGGTCGTAACGCCATGTCACCGTGACGCCAGGTCCCAGAAAAGGGAACCGCGCGCCAGGTCTGAAGCTGAGCAACGTCACGAAAACACCCCACGTCAATGTTCCTTCACGGAGGGTGGCGCGGTTATGTCGGTTTCCACCTGGTCGCACTTCGGCTCTGAGTGGCGGCGCACGGTTTCGGGCCCCGCGCGTGGCGCGCGCGGACCGGGGCGCGGCGCCGCTCCCTCAGCCGTGACGTACTTCATCGCACCCGTCGATGACAAATGCCGCGTGACGATTGATGACGGGCGAGTGCCAGCTCCGTGCGGGAGACGCGGCCGGCGTCACGGAGCGCAGATTCGCGACGAACCAGGACGCGCGGAGAAAGCCAACGCTGCTTGCACTGTGAGAGAAGCGTGTCGCGCCGCACCGCCTCCGCCAGCAAGCCGCCGCGGGCGAAGCCACGCCCCACATCTCCTCTGCGCCGCAGGTGGCGGTCGGAACTGCCCCGCGATGAGTGCGTTCTCCGCCCTGCTTCGTCCAGGCGGCGGTCATCCCGACTCAGCGGCGCTGCTGGTGATCGCCTGACGCGGGCCTCGGTGATTGGTGCGGCGCGGCCGCGTCATCGCGCGCGGTGGAATCTGCGGCGGAGCCGCGCGCCGCGGGAGGTGGGGTGGGTCTGAAGACCCCGGCGGACTCACGTCAGCACGATGTTGAGCACTTCGCCGAGCAGGCCCTCGTTCTCCAGCGGGTATTCGGCCGCTTCGCAGATGCTCCTCAGGATGCACGCCTTGCCGTCCAAACCGAACCTGGAGAGCGAGGCCGGCGATACAGCGGGTCTCAGGGCGGGGGAGCTCGCACTGAGGGGGGGGGGAGGTGAGGGCGGGGCGGAGGGAGGGACGAACGGGACAGTGGGCCGTTAGAGGGTGGCTAGACCATGCCTGAGGGTGAGGTGGCTGTTGGTGGACTGTTGCATTGGGCTGCTGGCGAGATCGCAACAAGGGAGTGGATCAATGAGCGGCGAAGTTTCGATCAATGAAGGCCGGTGTCGATCTCAGTACGAATCAAGCCAGGTGATTGGCTTATAGCTTGACAGCTGTCATATGACTAAAGCTCACCGAAATGAACAGAAAAAGTAGCCTCCATCCATGCACAGCATTGCACACCGCTTAAACATGCGCACCAAATATGGAACGGAACACTGAGATATTAAGTGTGTGATCAGGAGGAGCATCGCGTAAGCCGCAGTGTGCATGAACAACATCCGAGATCATCAGGCTTGAACATGCCCGCGGTCTGGGTGTGACAAGACTTGCTCTTTTGCTCAATATATCGGTTAAAGTTGTAATGCCCAGATGCAAATGGCTTGAGGACGTTCTGAAGTCACTGGCAAAAGAGAACGTTCCAATAATATAGGTTACAAGATGTAAGGGAGGAACATGGAATGCAGAAGTATGTCATCGATGCATGAGGAGGACGACACCCGGAAAATTCTTGAGAAGCATCAAATTAAGCATGCGGAAAACACAAAACGGACAGGGACAGAAAAGGGGATCAAGGAACGAAATACTAAGCGATCAAGATGCGACAAATCAATCAAGACAAACCCGTCAAAAATGCATAAAGGGATGCAGTGAAGTTGCTGGATACCAAAGCACACAGCGTCGGACAGACTACCCACAAACATTAAAAGGGTCGCCCTGCAGGCAAACATGCGTCTTACTGTGTCACCTACTGTCATTGTTAACCCAAGACCGTTCGATGACAGAGGCTGACCCTTCGGTATGTCAGAACCGGGTCCACAGGAGGCCCAAAAGGTCCAAAGGTCGCCGGTGTCCAGGACCGATGTAGACTGTCGGGTTCCTCTCTGATGCAGTTTAGTCGGTGTTGCGGATCCCATTGAATCGCAGATGATTTTCTTATATATCGATAATAGTCTATTTTTTTATTTTGTAGTGTGTAGTATGTAGTATTTCTGTAGTAGGTATTTCTATTATGATATGGTATGTACAGTATGATATACGTTTCAGTCGTATAGTAAGATGCGTGTTTGAATGTCGGGCATGTTTTTATGAGTTCGGGCCTCACTCTAGCGACATGGCCCACAAGTCTGCCCGAGACCCGGTCCATCCAGAGTGTCGCAGACTGCTCGAGCGCCTGTCCCGAGTCGGACGGGTGAGCAGCGAGACACCCGACCGAGACCGGCCAGTGTCGGGGTGCTCATCCCGACCGAGACCGGCCAGTGTCGGGGTGCTCATCCCAGCCGAGACAGGCCAGTGTCGGGGTGCTCATTCCAGTCGAGACAGGCCAGTGTCGGGGTGCTCATCCCGACCGAGACCGGCCGGTGTCGTGATGCCCGTTCCGACCATGACCAACCGGTGTCGGGATGCCCGTACCGACCATGACCGGCCAGTGTCGGGGTGCCCGTCACGACCGAGACCGGCCAGGTGTCGGGGTGCCCGTCCCAACCGAGATCGGTCGATGTCGGCTTTCTGTCCGGAGTACCGGTCGGTGTCCATCCAGTCCGGTCGGTGGCCGGTCGGTGTCAGGGTCGGGCAGTGCGAGGGTACCTATCCAGACTGAGGCGGGCCGTCTCGTAGATGCCGAGTCGGTCGCCTCCCAGTACGGACCGCCCCAGGGTGAAGGTGTCATTGGGGAGCGTCCAGCGCAGCTGCACCTCGGTGTCGATCCGGAGCGCTGTCAACGTCGGTCACGCCCGGGTCAGCTCGGGTCACCTCCGCAAGCCCGGGTCAGCCCAGGTCACGTCCACCAGCAGCCAGGGTCAGTCCGGGTCACGTCCGCCCAGTCAAGATCAGTGCGGGTCACTCTGCCCAGCCGGGGTCAGTCTGGGTCAGTCCGGGTCACGTCCGCCCAGTCTGGGTCAGTCCGCCCAGTCGGGCCAGTCCGGGTCAGTCCACCTTGTCTGGGTCAGCTGTCTGGTGCAGGCCTCCAGTCGGAGAGAAGCACATCAACGTAAGTGGTGTGTACAGAACAACCAGATCGTCCAGAAAACAAGCAAGCAAGGCTGGCGCGGGGTAGTGGGAAAAGAAGAAAACTGCATTTGGTTACAGACTCTACTTCCTAGTTGACATAAGATGGCGACGGAAACACGCTTTAGGAATTTTTGAAACATAAGCATGCAAGTTAATGCAGCCTTCTAGGAGGAGTCGACAACATGAAAAAGAAGCGCACCTCACGGCGAAACAAAAGCACAGCAAACAGTCTCCTCGGAAGAAAACTTACAAACCACACAAAACATTCACTATTTTGTCACCAAAGAAATCGCAGGCCTGTAAGGTGCACGGCAGCCATTTTATACAAAAAAGCGACGCAAACCAGCTGAGCAGGTCAAGAGCGTCGTCTCCCCGCTGCCTACGCCCGGCAGCGGCGGCTGGCGTGTGCCAACGCTGGCCTCCGAGCCGACTCACAGAAGTCTCCCTGCGTGAACAGCGGCGTGTACAGCTCCGGCTCGATGTAGAGGTAGGAGCCGGACGGGAAGCTGAGGAAAGCGCTTCTGGCGCGAGTGGGGCTGGTCGGCGGAGCGCCGGTGCCGCTCGAGCCGCGCGCGCCGCTCGACGGCCAGGCGGCCGAGGTACGAGCTCCACGTCTCGTACGGGTTGCCCCGCTGGATGAGCCCGGCCGGCAGAGCGCGCCCGGAGGAGCCGACCGAGCGACCCGGGTCGACCGAGGTCACGTCAGCGGCGGCGGTCAGCGCGGCCAGCCACACGGCCAGCAGCGCGAGTAGCAGGCCCGTCCTGTCGGCGACCGCGGCTGTCAGGTGGCAGCGCGGCTCAGGCTCACGAGACCGATGCGAGACCATTTCACGAAACTGTTGTTTCACGGCATCGGTCTCGTGAGGTGGTGCGAGTGCGATGGTGTCCGCTCTCCGGGGGGAGTTATTGCAAGTTCGTCGCCACTTGCTTTAAGTGTTTGCGTGACTATAAACGTGACTGAGACTTTGAGGCGTGTGCTTGAGCGCGTGAAACTGAGGCGCGTGCTTGAGCGCATGAAACTGAGGCGTGTGCTTGAGCGTATGAAACTGAGGCGTGTGCTTGAGCGCATGAAACTGAAGCGTGTGCTTGAGCGTATGAAACTGAGGCGTGTGCTTGAGCGCATGAAACTGAGGCGTGTGCTTGAGCGTATGCAACTGAGGCGTGTGCTTGAGCGCATGAAGCGCGGTCTCCCGCGACGGATGACAGGAAAACATGAAAAACAACAGATCGGTAAATAGGCACATCAACTGTTTTGATGACTGGATATGGTGCGCTGTGGCCATGTCCGGCACTCAAGCCCCCTTCAGTCACGATGTCAGGGGTGCGGGAGGTCGTCGTCGTCATCGGGGGTTTACGACGCACTCAACTGCTGAGGCTATATGGGGTCGCCTGCTCCCCCACCCTGGCAGGAAGAGGATGGCAGTAACATTCTTAAGTGGCTACGTTGGATTGTGGTTCAGTATGTCAGACCTTGAGATGCCCGGTTCGCCATGACAGAGCGGTTTCAGGAGGAAAGGACCGCAGTAGACCCTTTTGACGATTATATGATAGCGTGATTCAAATGACAGGGCTGGTTTAAGGTTAAACGTGTCCTTGTAATGTCATTTACATGCAGAACATTTTTGGCTAGGAAGACATCGCCTGGATCAGAATTTCAAACCCGTGCAGCTCTTTCTCTGACGCAAACGCTGGCTGTTGTGAGAGGCATATACCTACAGTTCTTTAATGCAGACTGACATGACATGCCGAAATCTTAGTTATTTTCAGCCGAAAGTGCCCATCACGTGTTTGAGTATCTATTTCTGGTACGGTTATTAAAGCCTTGTTTTTCAGGATAGACGTTCTGCGTCTTACGGTTATGATGTATGGCACCGACAAGGCTCCATCAACTGTCTCGTGGCATATCGGGGCGATGCATTAAAACGACGACTACAATGCCGAACACTTAAACATAGTGAATAAAATAACATATTGTTCTCGAGTCTGGTGCGATGGTGACGCGCCATGTTCGACACTGACCTCATGTCGGTGCGTCTCCGTGCAGCCTGCTGGTGTGCTGTGTACCGACACATGTCTTCACCGCCCAGTACGAGCCCACCCCGCCAGCGCGCTCTTATAGGTCAGAGCCGGGCCGAGCAGACCGCGACCGGGCGGCGCCGCACGCGGGGGCGGGGCCTGCGGCGGCGTGACGTCACCGGCGGGGCGGGGCCTGCAGCGGCCGTGTTTGTTGCCGGTCTGGAGAGCGCGAGTGCCGGGCCGCCTGGAGAGCGGGGCTTTTGTTCCGACCCTCTGGAGCGGCACTCTTGACCACCCTGGGCAAGCTGCCGACGGGCTGCCGCTCCCGCCTCACGGATGTGAAGCGCCGGTTGACACTGTTTTCGAAGGGTGTCGCCCGGCTCGGGCGACGTTGGGGTTCCCGATCTTGAACAGCACTGGTCGATGTCGTGCAGGTGCGGAAGGCGGTTCGTCGGGACGCCCGATCGAGGCCATCAACGGACTCTGTTGCGCTCTCTCATATCATGCAGATAGCTGGCTCGCTCACGAGCGTCATAGACGTTTCGGAAACTGCGTAATTGTGGAAACTGTGTGTGATCGTGGATAGTTTAGTTCCCGTACAAACGTCGAATAAAAAAACCCGAATTGAAAAAAAAATGGAACGCAAAATTTGAAACGAATAGCCGAAGGGATCAACGTTGACAGGGATAGAATTCGATTGGAAAATAGTGTAATGATAAAGAGTCAAAATGGAAAAAGTTTATAGGGGAGAAAAGTTGAGTAGAGAAAGGGTTGACGTAAAAACTGGTTGGGATAGAGCGAGGGGGATGAATGTCGAAGATGAGAAGTGACTGGGTTAAACGCGGTACGCAGGACGACAGTCAAACAGGATGAAATTCGACAGGGGTAAGTATAGAAAACACCTCAAATGACACAAAAGCCGACGGGAGTATTACTTGCATAGCAAAGAGGCAAAGGCGAGAAAGGTCGGCAGGCATAAGCGACAGATTGGAAAAAATAACAGGACGAAAATCGGATATGGATAAAAGTAAGCAAGTCGGTAGTCAAGGGGGTTTGAGACGGAAGTCCAGATTGTTTGAGGTATCATTTGAAAGGAGATTTTTTCGACTGCACTCGGATGCGCGTATGGATTCAATGGGTTCCACATCTCGCAGCACGGCGCCCGTCGGGAATCCTGTTTTTTTCGTTATTCTAGTGCTGGACAAACACGTGCCTATTCCCAATGCTGGTTCTTGGTTCCCACTTCCCTTCTGAAAACGGGAATCTGAGCCTAGCGCATGGTTCTCATCGAGTTTTTTGTTCGCACTAATTGAAGGTGTTCCCAAGCTGTTACCCCTGTATACCTTTCATTCAACTTTCCTCCATGTCGACTTTTATACTTGTAGGCTTTTTATCCTTTGATATTTTACAAATTCGATTTTTTCCTGTCAACTTGTATCCCTTTTGGCTTTTTGTCATTCGACTTTTTGTGCTGAGTGCTCCTATCCCTGCCGACTTTTTTGTTTGATTGTTTGCATCCAATTTGACCCACTCGACGTCTTCTCCGAATATCTTGACAGAGTTAAACACAGACGTAAACTTTATTGTCATACACGTGCTATCGCGAGGTTGAAAGGAGAACGGCGCAGTGGCGATTTTACCCGTTAAGCATTGTCATACCGTGACCACGGAGAAATTCTCTAAGTTTTTCCGGAAGAACGTGAGAGCCCCTACACGTATGATGACACAATTTTGTATTGTGTAATCGGTGGCTTTTCTTCTGGTCGTGTTGGCTAAGTTTTGCACGCGGTACTTACCAGTTTTGTACTGGCGCTGTATAGTTTTGCACGTTATGGTACTAAGTTACTATTGTAATGGCGGTACTTAGCATTTCGAGCAGTGTTCATCTTCAAAATTGGCAAGGGTTCAGAAAGGCCAACCATAACATTACACTTGAAATGTACGATACGTAAATTCAGAAGATGCTCCTTATCTGTGTAGGCACTGCCGCTAAAAGATGTCAAAAATGATAAATCACCCGAGCTCCCAACACCCCACATATCAAGTTACGCCAAAGTTACGTTATGAGGTTGCGAGGTTACGTGATGCTACGTTAGCTCTACGTCAGAGGCTACAAAAAGCAGGCGGCTGAGCCGGAGGTTTACAATGATGCACAGCAACTACTAGATGAGAAAAGACCGCAATCTTCAGGCACCACGAACATCGCCTGAGCCCCAGAGATGTGATAACCTTAAAATAGCGTTTAAAGGGAATGTTCCACATTTAAAGATCTTGAAGCGAGCATTAGACATGATGAATAAGCGCACTCATAACTAATGGCATGTTTTAAGTGGAAAAAATGCTCTAGACAATAACATTTCCCCCATTTTTTAATATGCTCCTCCTTATGTTATTATTTGATTGTGCCATGGAACGCTTGCATGACAGTGAGATGCTGCCAAAGGAGTGGTGCGAAATTGCCGCCCTAGCACTCACTTGTAGCATCTTAAACCCGCCGAGAGATGACAGTGGTGGTGCTTAAGTGTTTACTGAGCCAAATATTGTTATGTGCTCATGTTTTGGCCCTTCAGCTTGTTCTCCTTGCATATTTATATGTGAGTTTAAAATGTTAAAGTATATTCACACCGTCGATTAAGAGCCAGATGACGTCCAATTTATTTGGAATCTGTGCTCACGCCCAGCTCGGGCACCAAGCTTAAAAGGCTCGACGATGACATTTTTCCTGGCCTTGAATTCCGCATGACCAATAGAATGGCAGGATTTGAATGACGTTGCCATGGAGTCATGCATGCCTGAGTGGCCTTAAAAACGTCTGCACGAAGTAGTCTGCACATCTTCGCGGACGTATGATTCAGAAACTATAGGGTTTTAGGTCTTAGGCAAAGGCAAAGACAGCGAATGTGCAGCTTTTCTCAGATCTTGAGGCACGCATTGTGTTTCGCTGTTGCTAAAGCTTATATCTTAACTTAGTTATTTATTACAATACGGTCCACTCCTGCGTGTCGATCTATCATGTGTTCTCTTGGAGGTATGTACGCTCTCCGCAAACGTCCGTCTCTAAGGTGTTCATGACGCCGGTCACGAATGCTGCTCTTTGTTTTTCCTACATATAGTATCCCTGAGCAGAGGTTAAAACAGATATTGCGTACTACGTTTTTCCGTGCGCATTTCCCTTTCAGTCGATTTCACGTGCATGATAAATCATACACCCAGTTGGACACATAAGGCTTCTTTAACGCTTATCGTAACGCTGATAGATTTGCATTCTTTTTTGACCGGGACCACTAGTCCACGCTATCGTAAGGCCGTGCACACCGCTCAATCGTACAGCGGCATTGGATTGTACACACAGCTCGTCGTCTTTAAAAGGTAGCTCCACATAGACATGATTTGTTTGCTGCGCCTCCTTACAGTTTCTATGCAAGCATGCTGTTACTTTAAATGGAGAACGTGCGGCCCGAGCGGCAGGCCTCACTGTGTGTTATAGGTTTTTCCCATCACGGAAAAGGAGAAGCATCTTAGTAAGACTACGCTTACACGACGGTGGACCACATCTGTGAAATAAAAACTGCTTTTTAGAAGGCACGGGATATGCTGCATTGTGATGATACATCATACATAACATGATAGGGGCGGTCACGGGCTTAAAGCAGAGTGCTGTGGTATGACGTTCATCGAATATCACCACAAAAAGGGTGTCGGAGAATGGTTGGCAAGTTTCATGTTGTGTGTTCCAGTTGTTGATACATTTTTGCAAAAAAGCGTAACACTAGACTGTTGTTAAAAATGTGCGTTATTAGTTTGGGCTAGTCAACTGTGTCAGTCCCCAAAAACATATCCTATGCAGTAGCACAGATTTATTACGTGAATTGCAATGGCAATGCAAATATACACGCAAGCGCACGCATGCACACACACACACACACACACACACACACACACACACACACACACACACACACACACACACACACACACACACACACACACACACACACACACACACACACACACACACACACACCACACACACACACACACACACACACACACACACACACACACACACACACACACACACACACACAACACACACACACACACACACACCACACACACACACACACACCACACACACACACACACACACACACACACACACACACACACACACACACACACACACACACACGTGTATATATATATATATATATATATATATATATATATATATATATATGGCAGTGCCCCTGTTTGTGAGCGTCTTCAACTGTCAAAAATGGCTAGCCTGTCGTCCCCACGGTCCCCCGTTGCCTCCAAAGGGTGGCCATGGTCCATGGCCTCAACAGCCTCCTCCTTAACTACACCACCGGCTACACGGCTGCCCTCAGCTGGCGGGCGACCGTGCGTCAGCCGTGCGAGTTCCTCGGCTCGCGGCTCCAGCTGCGGCCCGAGGACACAACCGCGCGTCAGCCGTGAGTTCCTCAGCTCGCGGCTCCAGCTGCGGCCCGAGGACACAACCGTGCGTCAGCCGTGAGTTCCTCAGCTCGCGGCTCCAGCTGCGGCCCGAGGACACGACCGTGCGTCAGCCGTGAGTTCCTCAGCTCGCGGCTCTAACTGCGGCCCGAGGGCACGACCGTGCGTCAGCCAAGCGAGTTCCTCAGCTCGCGGTTCCGGCTGCGGCCCGGGGACACGTGGCTCTGACACGCCTGGGATGCGGTGCGCACGACAGAGGCGACCGCGCCGCTGCAGAGGACAGGCTTGCCCGAGCTTCTGCCAGGTGGTGGCTTGATTCATGTTGCGGATTCAGTGAAGATGCCGCTTCTCGTGCGAGGATTGTTACCGAGGTCTCGTGTTACTGGTGAGCTGTCTGTCATCCGTTGGAATGATGAGACGAAGAAAATATGGCATGTGCTCATCATGATGGATTTTACTGAGACTGCTCACGTGTGACTGTGCCCGTACCCGGCGGGCGGGCTTGTGTGGACCTGTGTCACCTGCGCATGCGCTGAGTACAGGGCGTCAGGGATTAATCCCGCCGTGCGTGTGGTTCGGCAGAACACCGTGGTCCTGTCGGAGGACGAGTCTCCTTCGCTGGAGCAGCTCAAGGTGGTCCGAGGACGACCAGGTGGTGCTCGTAGTCCGCAACAAGGACCAGGCGTGGCACCAGGGAGCCGACGACTATCGCCAACCTCAGCCGGGTGCAGGCCGCCAGACACCGGCTACGTGAGAGTCGGTGCCGACAGGCTGGGCCACGTGATACGGGCTTGTTACGAGTCCAGACGACGGCCACGAGTCGGGCACGAGTCTAGACGACGGCCGGCCATGAGTCTAGACGACGGCCGGTCATGAGTCCAGACGACGGCCGGCCACGAGTCTAGACGACGACCGGCCACGAGTCTGGACGACGGCCGGCCACGAGTCTAGACGACAGCCGGACATGAGTCCAGACGACGGCCGGCCACGAGTCCAGACGACGGCCGGGCACGAGTCCAGACGATGGCCGGGCATGAGTCCAGACGGCCGGGCAGGAGTCCAGACGATACGCTGATTCTGTCATGTGATTGCTCTGATTTGTGTGCCATGCTATATGATAACATTTCCTTTCCCGATCGAGATGGGTGTGGCGGGTTCGAACAACACTGACAACGCATGCTTCATGAACACCGTGCTTCAGTGCGGCAGCAACAGGACCACCCTCACCAAGCGCTACGTTGAGAGCATGCATCTATACGGGACTAAGTCAGCTGGCTTGAGGAACTCCGGTGGTCGGCAGTGGGACGTCGTTCATCGTTGTGTTTGGCAAAGCGCATGGTAGCCATGGCTAGATGCCGTCGTCATTGCACCAGGCACATCTTTGTTCAAGACGAGCGCTATTACACTCGTCTGCGTCTTATCAAAAATACATATCAACTGTCGTGAGAAGAGACAGCTGCCGAATTGCTTCAGCTGATAGCAGACTTAAGGCACTAAAGTCGCGATGCGTGTTCAGCCACATCAGGACAAGCAAAGTCCTGAGCACTCGCACCGCTTGTGAGAAACTGCAGTCTGCCGCAACAGAATAGCAGCTATTGATCAATACATGACGCTCCACAGGCGGTCACCGTGTATTACAAATTTCGTTGATTTTACTAGCACACGTCAGCAGTCGGGTCCGCTTGACGAGCGGCGAGCTTGATGGACTGAGCCCTCAGTCGTGCCGCTGCCAGTTCTCTCTCCTCTCACGGCGTCCGCAGAGCTGGATCGGCCGCTTCAATCCGACCGAGGTCCTCGCTCCTCCGTGCCAACGTCAACCTCCCCTGCCGCGGCACCGCCAGCACACCCAGCCGAGCCACCGTCAACTTGCCGCGCCGCGCTGCCGTCAACTTCCCGTGCCGCGCCGCCGTCAACTTCCCGTGCCGCGCCGCCGTCAACCTCCCCTGCCGGGTCGCCGTCAACCTCTCCTGTCGCGCCGCCGTCAACGTCCCCTGCCGTGTTGCCGTCAACATTCCCTGCCGTGTCGCCGTCAACCTCCCCTGCCGCCGCACCGCCAGCATACCCTTGCTGCGGCGCCGTCGGCATCTCCTGCCGCTCCGCCGTCAGCATCCCCTGCGGCGGCGGCGCCGCCAGAGCCGGTCAACAGAGCAGCCTCCACCGCGCCGCCGGCTGCCGCGCCGCCGGCCGCCGCCCGTCGGCCGGCGCCTGACACACGTAGCCGCGCACCTGGAACATGTCGAGGTCGGTCCAGCTGCCGTCGGTGGCCAGCACCACGCCGCGGCAGTCGCGGCCGCTCGGCGCGCCCTGGGCCCACGCCGTGAAGTTGAGAGGCTGCGGCCACCTGGTCCACTCGTAGACGCGGTCCTCGGTGCCGATGTTGGTGAGGCCGATCCAGGCCTCGGGCAGCGAGCTGGCGCCGATCAGCTGTGCCAGCAGGGCGTTGGTGTCGCTGTTGCCGATGTTGGCCAGCGTGTCCCACGGCTCGCACAGGCCCTCCGAGTCAGGCCAGTTCTCCTGCTGCAGCGACGCGCCGCTACGTCAAGGACAGGTCGAGCGAAGCGGCTCATCCGGGCAGGGGGATATGCGCGGATACGTCAGGGGCGGGATGAAATATTGCAGTACCGGGGCTCTAGCATATGGGGCCCTGTGCAAGTTGAGGTTTTAAGATATCTTTGTCAGCTTTCGGCTGCTTTGTAGCGCCGGGACAATGAAACTTATTTCCAAGGCTGACGAAAAATATGCTGAAAGATAATGTCTCAAATGAAGGTCAAAATAAGCTAGTAAGTTACGTTCTCCATACATTTCATATAGACAATAGTCGCAAAGTGGCATGTTCAGCGTTGCGATGCACTTGACACAGCCTCTCGGAGCCCCTGGTCCAGCCGGCACTCACGAGTTCCTCGAAGACGCGGTAGCAGTGGCTGCCGCTCTGCGTCCACCGCTCGTCCGGGCAGCCGTGCGCGCCGCAGAGCACGGCCGCCAGCGCCAGCACCAGCCGCCAGCTCCGCGTCATGCTGTCGTGCTTCCCGGTCTGCGAACCCGGCGCCTCGCGCGGCCGCGAGACCGGACAGCTGGTCCGGCCGCCAGCAGCGGGGCAGGCTCCCACCCTCTGAGTGTCGGCCGGCGGGAGTTCCGCGTGTCCCGCGCGTGTACCGGTGCCCCCGTCTCACGCTCCGGTTGGCCCCCGCTGTAGGAACATCCCGCGGGGCATGGAAGGTCCCATCGCGCGGTATGCGAGGTTGGTCTCAGCCAGGAAATATGGCGCGGCACGACTGAGACTGTTGCGCCGCTGAAGCTGCCGGTATGGGCACCGATGAGGGTGGTGTTCTTGCCCGCCGAGGCTGTCAGCAAGCATGATCTCTCATATTCGCTGCTGCTTCGCAGCTTCGTTGTTTCTCATATTCGCTGTTTGGAAACAAATTGTAGACAAAAATGGGGCTCAGATCTCAGCGAGGTTTCACGTCAGTTTTTAAGAAATATGGCGGGTAGACCTGCCTGAACAACAACACGCAAAGGTGTGATACCATTTATGCCTGTACTGCGCACCGGGGCGGGTTTACTGATGGAGCGATTATCCCGGCTTATCGTACTGGTCTGGCGTGTCAGCAGTGTAAGCCTGATGCGTATGCGTTTTAGTACGCCCGACCGACGCCGTCGACGATAGTCCGAACAACTGTCCCATCCGTAATCCAAATGTCTCGTCTCAATCATTCTGTAGAGCTGCCAGACAGACTTGTTCCGCACGGCCGGGTAGTCTATGGCGTGCCTGCTGTGCGTTATCATTTATGACGTCATCTGCTTAACTCGTGCCACACACCCGTCACTGCCAGTTCTCTGTGCGTGCAGGATGCTCTGTTTCTCCTGGCCCTGGGGCGGACGACTGGACGCCTCCTGCGTCTCCTGGTGCTGCTCTGGATACGGCCACCGCTGGCCACGTGCTCCGCCGCCCGCTCACACCTGGGAGAGACACGTCCTGCCGCTCGTGTCCTGCCGAAGGAGAGCCACGTCCCGCCGCAAGCCGCTCGTGATGGGCCTATTCCACGGTCAGTCCTAGTCGAAGGTGGCGTACGGCTAGTGCGGCCACGAGGACGCCTGGTTGACTCGTTTCACGTGCTCCCGCTGCCGCTGCCCACGGAGATCTCTACGCCCATAAAGATCGCGTGAAGATCGCGAGAATGCGTGAGTCGCCGCGGGGCTGTGCTAGGCGGCCGACAGGGCTGGGCCTTGTCCTGAGTTGGGGCACGGAGGTGGTGCGGGCATCAGTGGCGTCGACATATGAGGCGTTTTGCTTGTTCGTGTGGCCTGTGGCTGCGTTTGGCGTTGCCCACACCGGTCATGGATATCGACGGCAGCGCGACGCTCTTTGACACGAATGGATGCTCCATTCGACACGAACACGAATGGACACGAATCAATACTCCATTCGCGTCTGGTCAGCAGCGTTACGGCAAGGTGACATAACTATCTCGCCGTGACACCGTGACAGGTATAACGTGTAGCACAGGTAGTGACGGCTAGTGTACTTCTGTCACCCCGCGTTGCGCTGAGGCAGTGTCGTGGATCCTGCGCTGGCGATGTCTGCAGTGCCTGGCTGTGATACATTAGGCGTTTCGAACATACGGTGTTACGATACATTAGTGGTTACGCACATTAGGTGTTGCGATGGTCCCCCGCCCCCCCCCCCCCCCCCCCCCGACAGGCACCGTCGAAATGTCGGAGGCCCCCATTCCAGGCCGGGAGACCCATTCCAAACCAGGAGGCTACCTATCATGTGTCCAAAGACCTTTTTAGATCAGAACGCCCTGTCTTGGAATGATGAGCCCCTTGGTCAGATTTTGAGGTGCCCTTCGTCAATCGGAAGGGTACAGCTCTGGATAAAGAGGTTTCTGTATGCATAGTAAGGCGCTTTTATGGCACACGAGGGCCTGTTTTGAGATAAGGAAGCCTCCTTTCCCCACTACCACCACCACCAACTGAACTCCCGTGGTGCCGGTCCATGCAGCCAACCCAGCAAAACAAGTACGCACGTACGCACCCACAACGAATGCAAACAAATAGAATACTTTAATTGCGTCCAAACATTACTACATGCACAATGGCTAAACGAAAGAACGGATCATGTGGATTAATATCTAAACCGCTGTCTTATATTTAAACGTTAATAACATGACACTAAGATCTACACAATGCTACCGAACATTGGGATTGTTCTGCCACGCACTCAGCGCCCGCCGGCGTCGGTTCGGGTGCGAGGTTATGTTATGTGCTGCGCGTCCCGGTTGTTTTTGCCCCGTTCTCTTGAGCGTGATTCTTTGGAGTCGCACTCTGGAGTCGCACTCTGGAGTCGCACTCTGGATGGTCTGCCGTGATAGCGCGCCGGGCAGCACAGACCGGCGAAGCATTGTACCTGCGGATCTCGCAGCCAGCCGAGCTGATTAATCACATTAAAAGTGCGGCCGTGACGACTCCGAGCGCTGACAACTCGGGCGCAAAACTTCATGATTTCTGCGCTTGTTAGATTTGGGAAATGTCGCACGGCGTATAGATGCGAGAGTAGCAATGGTCGTCGGAAGGCACCAGGCTCTGAACATTATGTTTGGCCTGCTTGTGGATGAAACGTGTTGAGCGTGGCTGACAGCAATCCGGATGCCTGTGCATTACGCGTAATGAGAACAGTATGTGCGCGGTATCTGAGATGGCGGTTCATTTGAATAGCCATATCTTGGACCGTGTTGGCAGCTTTTACTACTAGCCACGACATGTTGAGTAACGGGAAGGAATTACTTCCATATCAATTAAAAATGTGTGTCTTTGTTAGCCCAGCATCTCTCCCCGCCTCATAAGTTCCAGCCTTTGTGACCTGAATATTTCGCTAAATTTATTATATTGGCTGGATTAAAATATCACTGAGTTTAAGCCGGCAACGCTGGATCTTATGCTTGGACAGATTACGAACTTCTGTCCGCTAACATCACGTAACAGCATAACCAAGCTGTCGACATTCCTCGGCGATATTTGGCAGGACGTCCTCCTGCATTACGGCTTCCAAAACCTCGGCGCTCGCGGCCCTGGGCGCTCACTTCACTGCCCTGGCCAGCGTCTCGCAAGATGCCGACGAACGTCCCAGATGACCTTTGTCAGTGCCTGCTGGCCTTCGTTGATGACAACCCCTCCGCCCGAAGTTTGGGATCTCCAATCACGGTGCCGTTCCAAGTGAAGAAGAAGAGATGTCTCTAACATGTGATGAAACTCCACATCCCACTGCCGATTCCCAGATTCCCAGTGCTTCACATAACCCACTCTGTCGTCATGACAATCGCTGACATGGTCAAATGACATTTCACCTAGGGCACTTCCATGTTTGTGCGGCTGGAGCCACTGGCATAAGGTTTCGGACTAAACCATAAAATGAATTTTAAAAAGAACTAGTTGGGTTAGTATGCATAAAAACTTGTTGTTTTCCATTCATAGTCGCAAAAGTAATGTGCGTGGAGCTATTAGCAATGAAAATAAGCGAACACAGCACGATTTTGTACTACCTATTTGAGGCATCTAAAAAGCATTTCCTAAAAATGCTTAAAAAAGGCTAAAAACCCATGCTCAGGGGATGCAGTACCGGGGTTACAGGGACTGCAGTACGGCAGCAAAAGTACAGTGACTGCACTGAACGAGACCGGAGGATCCCACACCCCTGGGGACGCACAGGCATTGAATGTCCCACCTGGTTACGGACCTGAATATCAGACAACCTCATTTCATCCGGATCGGAATCCCCCGTAGGCACTTTGCTGAATATGATGGCCCTCTTTGTGAATCGAAAGGAACCTGTTCTGAATCAGGAAGCCCATGTATGCATCAGAAAGCCCTTTTCCGGCAACGGAAGTCTTATTTAAGGATCGGGAGACCCCTCACTGCGTCAAAAAGACACCTGTATCAACAAGAAGACCCTCATTCTGCAACTTAAACTGTCGACGTTTTTTACATGGAAGTTGACACATGTCACAATTCCATAAGGGTTCCTCCCGTGAATACGATAGGTGCCTGCGGGCCCCTCCCCCTAAATACAGTACTGGCCAGGAGGTCCCATTTTTCGCACAGGTCACCTGGAAAACCCCCTCCTCCAACTCAAAATCCGTGGCATCGTCCTCGTTTACAATGACCAGAAGTATACCCTCTGGAAGAATTTTGCGTTCTCACAGGAGATGAGTAGGGAGGAGGAGGAGGAGGAGAGAGCATAGAAACAGACCAATAATTTCAGGAAGCTGTGTGGTTTTATTCACCGAATGGTAAAGACAAGTCGAACAGATAAGATTGTACACCAGTAGGAAATAGCTGTAGCATAGCCGCACCAATTTAAAAACAACTGTAAGAAATTTAAGCGCGCATCTTTTATTACAGCAATGCAAAGTACCTTGCAAGGTTGCTGACTCATGAGGGGTCACAGGCAGGCCGTGGCTGTCAAGGAAGGCAATTTACAGAGAATTGCTCAATTTGATGTACCATCAATATGATGTGGAATTCGATAAATTCAAATAACGGAACGTTAGACAAAGCCATACATATCTGCTATAGTTTCTTAGGCAATAAAACGGTTGAATTTGGGATCGTAACAAATTCAAATGACCTAGGGTCAGGAATGAAGTCCGAGGCCTACCGAGGACCGAGGACCGAGGCCTACGCCAACCGTCTTTTTTACACGAGAGCTTGTTATATGGAGCAGTTTCTGACGCTTGTATCGAATTGATTAATAACAAAGACCGCAACAGACATCATGCATGGATTTTTTAGTGTCAGTGAGGGTCACTGATCTAAAATGACCTGGGTGGACATTTCGTGTTTTTAGGAACTTACCGCTTGGCGTAAGCCTTGACACTTATTGAAATGCAAAAACACAACATTATTGTAGGATTTCAGATCACCATGACCTTCTCAAGCTCAAACACTGCCACTGACCTTAATAAGAAAACCAGTGAACTTTTGCTTAGAACGGATGTCTGGCTTCATGGCGGTTGTATGAGTAGGCTTTGACGGCACTTTTTCTGCGTTTTTCATTAACGCAGCGAAGCAAGCGTGGAAATGCTCACATATTTTATTTCTGATTTTCCGCAAGGCTACTTTATATCCTTGACTTCGCGCACTGCTACTTTTCTTTTTCAAGCGACCTCATATGAGATATTACACGTACGTGGCGCATATGTCACATTCAACGGTAAATGTGTATGTTTATGCTTAGAGCAGATCAGTCAGCGATTGGCACACGAAGTTGGACTAAAAATTTACTCAGCCATGCTACGAAGTAGCTTGGTAAGGCTAACACTAGCCAGTACTAGACTATCCCGGAATTTTGCCGCCAAAAAACTTGACGGGAGAAGATGCATTTCCTCTTCAGCAGCTCTGCAGGGTACCAAGTGGGTGACAATAGATTAAGTGTCGAAGATATTTTTGGAACCAATACGCAGCTGCCTCAAAAGCCCAAATTTTAAAGAGTATAGGGATAGAACAAATCATTGACATCTTTCTTTGGGTCATTTTGATGCATGCACAGTTTGAAAGGTTTCTTGTTCTGGCTTCCCATTCAAAAATTTTATTTTGCATTTTCATGTGAATAGACTGAAGAGCTAACAATTGTGAAGGGGTGTTTACCACTGCTACAATAAATTTGTACCTGTTTTCTTATTTCAAGCATCCATGCTGCAGGAATTATAGAAGTTTACCTTTTTGTGACAATGGTTGTGTTCATAATGCTCGTCACTTTCTTCATGCATGCACAATGTGTTTTTGGTGTAAACTATTTATTCTGACTATAGGATTTAACTGGCTTAAGCTTGCCTTTTGTCACAGATAATTGCTCCAAATAGTTAACCATGAGTGACGCTGAACATGTTTGTATGTAACCAGGTGCCTGATATTACGGAAACAAATCAGGATTAGGGGGTTGAAACTGGAATCCAGTGGGAGCCAGCTGACCCACAAAGAATAGTTTGAGTGGAATAGCATGAAAGCATGCATGCTGTGCAGAACATGGGTGACAAAACACACTGCTGAAAGAAATGGTGGAGAACATGTCTCTCCCCCTCACCCGCAGTAGCGGTTACGTCAGTGGTGATGGATGCTGTTGTGGGCAAAATGAAGACCTCTTTTGGTTAATTTTCGGCAGTGTGAATCAGCAGTACTGCGTTCTGCCAAAGAACAGTGTGTGCACTGTACTGGGTACGACCATCCGGTTGGCAACTGATTTACCACTCAGCACCCTCTGACGGAGCCCCGGACGTCACCCGCAGGTACTACTACAGAGCCATTGCCACCGAGCACCCGAGGGGCCGTGTCATCGCTGGCGATCTGCTGGTGGCCTTCATGTGGTACTGGATTCTCTACCACCTGTGGTACGAGCCGGAGCATCTGTTTGTAAGTACTGGGGATTGTACGCTGGTCGTTCGTTCGCACGACTGAGGGGCGCGACCCTGAATTATGTACGTGCTGGTTATACGCGCGCATCAACGCCGCGACTCTGAATCATACATGTGCTTGTTCTACGCGTGCGGCAACGCGATTTCATCTACGAGCCAGCGCCAGCGTCGTGGCATGTTACTGTTTGTCGTGTTCTTCCGGCGTGGTGCGCGTCCTCATGAGAGGTCCGTGTTTCAGGGCGAGTTTGAGTACCCGGACACCTCCAAGTGGACGAATGAAGAGCTGGGAATACCTGCTGACGACGAGTAGAAGTGCTTAGCCGGTGGTGACCATGGTGTGTAAATACAGGGAATGTGTAACGTGGTTCGTGTTGGATCAGCCGGTAGGTGGGTAGCGCCGCGGTACGGCCGCTACATGCCCAGGCTGCGTAACTACAGGGATGCCACCAATAGCGTTACGAGGATGCAGTTCATGCCAGCTTTCTTATCACGTGTCGGGGTTTGCCGGTGTTACCAAGTGTAGCTGCCAGCGGCGTCTGTATTGGCACGGCACGACTCCCCACCCACGATGGCACCACTCATGAAAGACGCATCGCCGGGGGGCTGAGGCTGAGCCGTCTTCACCAGCGAGAATCAGCCAGTTGTTCAGCCTCTTCCCCCTCCCCCAAATGCCGCCGCCCTGCTGACGTACAATGCACAGCCTGTAATCGTCTCGAGGCTGCTACTGCCCAAGTAAGCTGGCCTGCGTGCCGTGGAATCCACATCTTGCCGCCCAGGGCTAGTGAAACTTCTTCTGCACGCAAGCCCCTGTTCACCTCGCGATGAATCATAGTAGCAATGATTTCGACAAGCGTCTCAGCGGAAGTCAGCCTGATACAAATGGCCCTGAGAATGGCAAGACTGCGTTTGACACGCAAGATAACTGGAATGGTCGGAGCGCTCGTTGGTCACCAGGCTCACACCGCCACATCGCTTGCGCCGACGTTGTGAATCTTGGCGAGGAAGGACATGATGTTGACCCCCTTCAGTAGATCCCTGGCGCGCTCCGTCGCGGCGGCTGCCCGTGGCCTCTTCTCCTGTGACACCAAACGGCAGGGACGTCTATCAATTAGGAACGGACGCACGGCGCACACAATATCACACGGCACCCACATCTTAAACACATAACCGTCGGATGGCGCAGCAGGCAGTGAAGCGTGTAAACCCTCAGTAGCGTCGTCTGAATAAGCTGCCACGTGACGGTTATGCGTTACGTCATTCAATGCACACGAAACAAAGCGTTGCTTAAAACGCAATGAAACGCGCGACGCCCGCATGCCGTCGTCTCACACGTTTTCAGAACTGACGGCTCAGACGATCTTCCCGACGACCAAGCACGGCGGCTTGCGTTGGACAAGTCGACAATCGAGGCCGTGGTCGCTCTCACTCCTTTGCACCACCCAGCCTGACCTCCCGTCCCATTCCTCCGCCTCCGCCTCCGCCTCCGCCTCCGCCTCCGCCCGCCACCCTCCGCCCTCCCTCCTCCCTCCTCCCTCCTCCCTCCGCCTCCACCCTCCACCCTCCACCCTCCACCCTCCCCCGGCGACACCGTCCGGCCGCGGCGCGTCGTACCGGTGGGGTGGGCGCGTCGACGTTCCTGAGTCGCTTCCTGGCGGACGGCGGCGCCGCCGTCCGGCCGGCCGGCTGCGCGAGCCGCGCGGCGCGGGCCGGCGTGCGGCGCCGGCCGCCGGCCCGGGCCGGGCTGGCGCTGGCGTCCGTCGGGGCGTCCACAGGTGGCGCCACCACGCCGGCCGCGCTGCACCTGCACAGCAGAGGGGGAGTCCGGTAGGGGGCCCGGCAAAGACGCGGGAATAAGCAGGACGGCGGCTTGCGGCGGCGCTAGCGACGGCGAATGATGGGCACATGTTTAAAACGCATGATGACAAATATTTCTCGCTCTGTGCATCCCCGCGCCGAAATCGCTGGCAAGATGTGATGGCACAAGGAGCCGATACCAAACTTGTACTCCCGGTTTCATTCTGCACGGGACGGCTGTTGCCTCGGACATGGGCCTCGCTGCTGGCCCGCTACACACTCGCTCTGGCGACCTGGATACTAAGACGGAGCCGCTGCTCTGGGACTGGCTCACACGGGCTCGCCACGGACCTGGCAGCAGCCGGATCGCTGGCGTGCCGACGGCTCGTGTCCAGAGAGGATGGCGGCGTCTCGGCGGCTCCCAGCAGCCTCCGGCGGGGCAGGCGACGGCGCGGTTCGCTGGAGCCGACCGCTCCTGCACGCAGAGCGCGATCCGGGGCTCACACAGCAGCCCGCGGGACCGCACGGGTGCACGCTGGGACTATAGAACAACACGACGGGGACATCTGCTGCTGGAAGGCGCATGCCCGGTAGAAGAACCGTTTTGAAAACTCGTACATACACCGAAAGAACGATTAAAGCTTAAACTGTATTGAACTTTAGCGCAATACACTAGAAAAGTGAGCCAGTGGGGTGAAGTTTGCGAGGCGTGAGACCTGAAACGAATTGAGGAAACTAAAGCTACGTTTAAAAAAGCCGTGGTGTCAAATTGGCTCCAACGTTTTACAGAAAACGTATGCACATTACGACACTGGTTCAGCGAGCTGAACACGCACTCGCCCAACACTCACATCGACCACTGTGACAACCTTTCCTGTCTGGACCACCCGGCACTGGTGACCCTCTCCTCTCCCTCTCCCTCACCTGACCGCGAGTTGGCCGGGCGCGGCGGGCCTCCCCCGGCCGAGGTAGGCGTCAGCTCGGCGACCGGCGTCAGCGCTATGTGCAGAGACCGCTCCCCGGGCGGCGTGCTGCGGCTCAGCGGCGCCGCGTGGCCCGCTCCGCCGTCCGGCGCCGGCGTCCGGAAACATTCGGACGGGTCCGCGGCCGACTCCAGCGCTGCGCGGAGCAGCGGCGCCGCCGCCAGCGTGGGCGTCGCCGGCGTGGCCGGCCGGACGCCTCCCGCCGCCCGCTCGGCCGGCCGGCCGGAGCCGTCACCGGCCGGCGCCGCCGCCACTGCACACTCGGGCAGCGGGGCCCACGGCTCCCGCTTCACGGCCGTCACCGGCTCGGCCCAGGCCGCTGCCGCCTCCGCCTCCACCTTCACGGCCGGCGCCGCCTCCGCCTTCACGGCCGCCGCCGGCCACCTGCGCGGCACACCTTTCCGCGGCGTGCGGTTGCGGACGAGCGAGGGCGAGGGTGGGGGTGCAGCGGCAGCGGCACCGGCGGCGACGGCAACAGCAGGCTCGGTCCGACGGCGCGCCGCCTCCAGCCGCTCAGCGAGCCGCGCCTCGACAGCTGGGAGGCCGGGCCGGGACGCTGCGGGGCCGGGTCGGACAGCCGTCCTTGAGAGCGGCCGCGGCCCGGCGGTAGATGGCGCCAGCTCCGCCGCTCCGGACGTATCGGGCGGCGGCCCGTCAGGGGTCCTGCGCTCCGTGGCAGCCGGCGGTTCGGGAGAAATCTTCGCGCTCCGGTGTTTGCCTGCTGTGCTCTGCCCCATGTCGGCTGGAGATTCATCCACAGTGTCCCCCTGTGCGACGACTGGGGGTGCGTCTGGAGTCCTTTGCTCTGCGGCAGCTGGCGGTCCGGACCTCCGTTCTGCCGCGGCCAGCAAATCATCTTCAGTCTTCATCGCCGCGGCCTGTCCAGCATTCTTAGCTTTCACCTCGGCGGCAGCCGACGGCCCACTCGCCTCGCCTCGCTTCGCGACAGCCGGTGGCCCCCTCGCCTCGCTTCGCTCCGCGGCAGCCGGAAGCCCCTTCGCCTCGCCTCGCTCCGCGGCAGCAGGCGGCCTCCTCGTCTCGCCTCGTTCCGCGGCAGTCGGTGGTCCCATCGCCTTGTCTTGCTCCGCGGCAGCAGGCGGCCCCCTCGTCTCGCTTCGCTCCGCGGCAGCCGACGGCCTCCTCGCCTCGCTTCGCTCCGCAGCAGCCGGAAGCCCGCTCGCCTCGCCTCGCTCCGCGGCAGCCGGTGGCCCCCTCACCTCGCCTCGCTCCGCGGCAGCCGGCGGCCTCCTCGTCTCGCCTCGCTCCGCGACAGCCTGGGCTCCGTCGGCCTTGGCCTGCTCTGCGGCGGCCGGCAGCGCCGGGCTCGCCACAGACGATGGCGCGCGGACCGGCGCTCCTGACTGGACGACCGGAGAGGGCGCTGCCAACTCCGCCTCCGGGAGCGACGTCGGCGGAGGCGCCGACCGCTTCGACTGCCGGCGAACCATTCGAGGCGGTCATTTGAACGTGCCGTTGCAAGGCATGGACGCCACTCTAACGTGCGAAATGTCGACCGAAAAAGCGTTGTCAAGCACCCAACGGTAGAACACTCCGAACTGCTCATTGGTTCATCTGGTGAATCAGACACTGTACATCCGTTCAGGCATGCGACTACTGCTATCAAGTTTAAAGGTTTCAACTGGATACTCTCACTCGGGACAATTTAAAAATGGCTAAATTTCGGGGTGCGGGTATTCGGGGCGGACGACAGTGTTCAAAGCATGGTAGACGACGTTCATAACATTCAGTGCACATGGTCAAAAAAGAACCACTGACGTCGACACGCTTGCTTGCGACCATGCATTCACTCAAAATAAATAACCCGTTGTTTCTACTTGCCGAGCAATGGTTGATTTTGCCATAGATCCAACCGAAGCAGCGTGAGCTCCCGTAATCTCGCGAGCTGAAATGTAGTATTATTACGTAGTTGAATCACGCAACAACGGCGATTTTTTATAAGTAATAATCTTACACCCGAACGCCAATAAAACCTGAAGTTTGCAGAAACGCAAACGGCATTCGATTCCCAGAAACCAGCAGTTGTTTGCTTCGCCTGAACGTCTGTGCCAAACAGCACCATTTGCTCGTGCGAGCGTGACATCTAAAGGCGCCTCCAGTAGGGCACGGAGCGTACCTGCTCAGCGTCGACCCCCTCCAGCAGTTGGCCGCGACCCTGCGCGGCGCCCGCCGCTTGCGCCGGCTCCTGCCGCTTCGGCCGGCGCCACCGGACGGACGCGTCTTGCCGGCGGCGGCGGGAGAAGGGGTCCGGTCGGTGCCGGCGCCGGCCGTCGGCCGCACACCGGAGACCCCGGCGGCCGGTTCGGGGCTGCCGGCGGCGACCGGCGGCCAGGCCGCCGCGCTCTTCGCTGCCGCGGCCGCGCCGCCGCCCGGCGCCGGCCGGGGGCTGGGGGCGGCGGCGGCGGGCGGGGCGGTGCCCGGCGTCCTCGCGGCGCCGCCGCCTGCCACGGCGCCCGCCGCCGGGCTCCACGGCTGGTAGTCGGCCGGAGCCGCCCCATGCCACCGCCACGCGTCGACCGAGTCGTCCTCTGGCGGGGCGGCGGCGGCGGCGGCGGCGGCGCACGACTGCGACGGCGCGACCGTCTGCGAGCGCGGCCGGGCAACGTCAGCGGACCGCGCAGCGGCTGCGATGTTTGTGGTCGGCAGGACGGACACGGTGGCAGCAGTCATTGCACACAGGACCAGCGCACGGGCAGGCAACGGACCCGCATAACGGAGGGGATGGCGCTAACGCCTATGCAGAGGGCGACAGATGGCGTCAGTGGTCAGCAGACGACCAACCGTGTTGGCGGTGGGAGACGCAGCAATGCTAATAGACGACTATAGACTGATTGGTGTCACGAATTGTTTCACAATGCCCTGTACCTGTGTTTTGGCGAGCAGAGAAAGTAGGCTGCGTAGCTTGCTCAGAAATCCATCCCCGACGTCACCAGAGTCCGTCTGCTCTATGACCGCGTCCACTAGAGGTCAACAGAAAAACAGGCAAAAATAATGAAACTGGTAATAGTAATCACACAACTTGCAACAACAAAAAAACGTTTATCTTCCGTATAAATTCACTCAAAACGGGTCATGCAGTTGGAAGACAACGAACCTGTTCGATATCAAGGAGAGAACAGTGAAGCCTCAATATACATTTGAGAGTCACTACTTCCTCCTCTGCCGCCGCCGAGTCTGCTCACCCAGGGCGCAGGCGGCGCCATGGTCGGCAAGGATCTCGGTGAGCGAGGGTCCGAGCGGGCGGCTGGGCCCCGGCCGCCCGCGCGCTTTCAGTCGCCGCAGCTCGGCCAGGTCCGGACAACGGGCCAGGAAGAGTGTGGCCGCCTCTGGACATGACCTGTTCAAGTACCCTGCAGGCACACAGGGGTTACGTCAGAGTAGCACCTGGTGACCAACCTGAACACTGGCCAGATGAGCAACACACTGGATGAAGCAGAAACAATGATAAAGACAACATAAATGAGACCATAACTGCAATGTTCAATATGTTCAGAGATTGTGTTTGAAACAACTTAAGTAAAGATGATGCATAAAAGGCAGATCGAGGACATGATACATCAGCATTCCTTTTAAAGCACACTGCAGCATGTCTAGCATTACTGCCATCTGGAAAATAGCTTACCAAGTACCAAGCGGGCAACATCTGATGGTAAAAAGTCCATAGCTTCAGCTTTCACCTTTCTTGACTTTCATCCTCTGGAAACATTTCTGTAGATAGTTCATTTTGCACAGCCATAGCTCACTAAACCAGAATAAAATTCATGCCATCAGATCCGTAAGATAAAGAAAAGACTGAAATAAGAGATAAGAAAGTGTAAAAAACTGAAACATTATAACTTCCTACATTATAGCTTACCTACTATGACTTAATATTGATATGGATAGATCAAGCCATAGAAGAATAAGGCAATGCAGGTGGGGCAAGAGCCCTACCTGCATTCATTGCAATTATCATACCCATAAACATTACTTGATATTGTATTTACCAGTACCATTAACATTACTATGTAAACTAACATTTGTTGAAATCATTAGATAAGCCTGCCAACATCTATTAAAGTCATTACAAATGCTTTTCAAGGATGCATATTCATTCTAGACTACCACCAAAGTCCTATCAGATCTCCACATTCAGCTGTCCATCCATTTCATTTGGTTTTTAAAAGGTAATATGGCTTTGCAGGTTGTCTCCAAAAAGGGATGCAGAAAAGCAATTTTCAGCCCAATTTAAGGTGAAAATAACCTGTGCCTGTGGCATATTAGTTATTAATGGTGCATGGGCATATCAAAAGCCATCATCATCCATAATTAGTAGAAGAGAAAAAATGCATGTGATACCTTGGGGCACAAGCTAATTTCTAAGAGATTTATTGTTTATTCATCTCTTTTCTAAGAAATCTAAGAGCTTATTTCACATGTTTTGTCGACATTGTGACCTTATATTCTATGACCTAGCACATGCAATTAGGAAAATGTGTGGCTGGGCTCACTCCCTTAATGCTGAGCCTTTCACAGCAATTTTCTAGAAACACTATGTCACAAACCAGAGTACAGGGAACTGGAGACACACAGATAAGTTTCCATTTGTGGTACTGGGTTTAGGAGTAATCAATGAGGAGAGATGGTCACAAGGATACTGACTGCTACCAAATGACCACAACCATATTTCTTTTCCCTAGTCTGTTGGTTGCAATGGTTGCTGGGAATTTTACAATGCTATGTCATGCAGTATTATGGCTGCAGTTGGTGAAGCTCCCTTCTATTGCTGTCTGCACACCTCAGACAGGAAACAAAATAGCATGGTATTACAGCTATAATTCAATGCATTGGCAAATTCTTGTGATGAGAGATCCACCTTCCATCCACATTCCATCATTGGGACTACCAGGAAAAGGATGTGTAACATGCATCAGATGTCATGGAAGGTATAATCTCACTGCTTCCAATTCAATGCTTCCCATCATGAGTTAACAATTCTTGTGCTGAGTTATCAACACTCAATATACCAGTAGGTACCTCATACA